CATGCGCAGAAATGCAGAAGTAGCTGCCTTATTTGCAGAAAGTGTTTCTATTTCTGAGGCTGCTCTTACTTTGGGGGTTGAACGTTGAATGAGCTCCATCCCAGGCAGAATGGTCTGTATCAGCCTCCTCAGGCTGCAAGGAGTCCCAAGAGTTCATGTGCACTGTGCACAGCAGGGCCACATTCCCCCATCCATCACCTTCCCCATCTCAGCCCCTGCCCAGGAGTCAGAATGTACTGTGGGGTCTTGGTCCTTCATATGTGCCAAGAGGGGCTCCCAGGGATGTCCATGCTAGAGCTGCATGCTGCTGGCATACAGGTCTGTACCAAAAGCATAACAGCCCCCAGGACCAAGCCCCTCCATACCAAGCCCCCAGCAGGCCTTTTAGGCTCTCACACATCACCCAGCCTCAAAGCAGAGTTAGGGCTTTTGCTATGACCTCCTCAGACTGGGCAGGCACCAGGGGACAATCTGCTGCCCAGCCAAAGCCCTCCATGGGACATAGGAGGCAACGGGTCACCTCGCAGCTGCCTTTCCTAAGCAGCATAAACCCAGGGCAGCCACCACAGTCAGCAAGACCAGAGCTTTGGGAGGACCTGCTTCAGCCTGTACAGGAGCTGCTCCATGCTGACACCAGGCAATGAGGACCTTTGCTTGATGGTGGCTCCCAGCCACATCCTTCAGTGCTTTGCCAACTGCCATTTCCCACCAGACAGTGGTGCAACCAAGCCAGTGAGCAGGAGGATGCACCTCCATCGCACCACCCTCATCACTCAAAGCCAGGCACAACATCCAAATACCAGAGTTTATTGGCAAAGTGCAGAGATCCGGGGAGATGAAGAGGTCTGTGTGAGGAGGCAGTGGCACCTGGGGATGCTCATGTGCTGGGGTCAGGCAGGGAATAGGGTGGTGGGACAGCCAGGCAGGAGGTCCCCATGGTCACCAGGGCCCTGCGCAGGTGTAGGTGGTGTTTCCCCAGAGGAAAGTGGGGGGCAAGGACCGGAGCCACTGCAGGGTGGCTGCCCTCTGCTCACAGACCCAGCCGAGGGCTTCCCCGCACTGACCAGCAGACAGCCCTGAGCCTGACACCCTGCCGCAGGCCAGGAAGGAGCTGGTGGAGCGCTGGATGGGGAAGAGCCTGCAGGGAGAGAGAGGAATGAGATGGGATGCACAGGAGGGGCTGGGGTTGTCCCATCAGCATCTCCTCCAGCCAGGGACCAGAGGCTGCAGAGATGTTGTGGGGGCAAAGCTCACTCCCCCCCTGCTCCTCCTAATTAGGACACATGCTCTGATCCACTCCCACCAGACCCCTGTTTGTTTGGCATGCAGCATCCCCCAGTCTCTCCTGATAGGGCTTGGCGCCAGCTGCACCAAGAAAAACTCCATGCTGGGTACCTGCTTTTGGGACATCTCCCAGCCCCTCATCCAAGCAGGGTGTGGCCACTGAGGTCAGGCCCCTGCAACCTTTCCTTCCCTTCCCTAAATTGCCCTAGTGCAGGAAGAGGAGGGTTGGCCAAGGCATGGAGAACATCCCTGCACGCCAGTGAGCTGTCTGTCCTCCTGTCACCTCCTCAGGCCCTGGTGCTGGACCTCCAGCAGGCCAGGCTGGGGACAAGTGACAGCCTCACCTCTTCAGTGCGGTGCCATCCATCCACTTCCAGTCAGACCTGAAGTTGTCCCGCTTCAGCCCCACGTGGAAGAGCTCCATGTTGGCTGTGCGCACCAGGAAAGCCTAGAGCAGGAGAGGACCCGCATGAGCTCCTAGGCAGAGGACACCTAGACCCAGCCACGTCATTACTGACGGAGGCTGTGCAGTATGGGCACGGCATCACCAGCTCCCTGCCTGGAGGCTTGGCTAGGCTTTGGGCATATGGACCACAGCCAGGGATACTGGTGATAGCTGGGTGACTGCTGAGGGACTTTGAGGTGGTCACCAGCACAGCCCAGTGCCCATGGGAACCTGGACAGGCCAGGCTGGGCATACTTACCAGGGTGGTGTTGGCTTGGATGCTGACCAGCTGTGCCCCTCTAGAGCAGCAGGCCTCTCTGCTCTGCTCCCAACTCTTTTTGGCAGAGGAGAAGTAGTAGCACCGCCCTGCATCCCAAAGCCAGCCAGCTGGGCAGAACTGGCATTGGCCTGCATGACAGAAACACAGACTGCAGAAGCAACCAGGATGGGGCAGCTCTGAGCCCAGGGGACAAGAGGCCACCAGGGTACCCACCAACCCAACTCCAATGGCTGCCCTGCAGAGAGGACCCTCCACCTCCCCTTACTCTGGAGCGCAGCTCCCGACAGGAGCCTCAGGGGAGATGGGCTGGTTACACCAAGGGACATGAAGGGGTCCCAGAGCACAGCCTGTTCAGCAGCACTGGGGCAGCTCTTGGTGTCATGAGCGTGGAGACAGGCAGCAAGGGTGAAGAAAGACTGGTGGGCGGCACGTTCTGGAGTAGGGACTGGTTCTGCCTCTTGAAAGGAGCAGCCAGGCCCTCTCAAAACCTCACCCAGTAGCCCATCAGTCTCTTACTTCGCAGTGTCTGTTGCTCATAGCTGGGGCTCTCCTCCATGCTCCAGAGACCATGGGTGCATCTTGCTTGTTGTCTTAAATCTAAAGAAGAAGAGCACAGGAGTGTGTCCCCCAATCCCAGCAGCACCCAGTGCCCTCTCCCATGGCACAGCCCCACGGTAGCTGCTGCTGAGGATATCCTCCTCTTTAGGTGCCCTGCCAGCCAAGCTCACCGAGGTCCTTGTGGCTTGTGCTGTGCTTGGGAGCCCATCACACAACAAGCTTTCAGGGAAAGTGCTTTTGCCTTTCAGTTTCAGTGTCACCACCCTCCATCCTGTCTTCATTTCATTGCCATGTGATGGATGCCCCAGCACTGTCCCCAAGCCCATGCTGTCCCTGTGCCCTCCCCTCCCAGCCAGGCCAGCAAGGTCTTGCCTCACCAATTTTCATGCTTGACCTAGGATCTGCAAACACCCTCAGCCCAAGCAGGAAAGCTCAGCTCCATGGGCAAGCTACAGCTCGATCTATTGCTATATGGGCCCTATGCTGCCAACCTTGATTCCAAAACCCCAGCCAGAGAGGTCCAGGCACAACCAGGTACTCACAGTGGAAGCTCAAGCCGACTAGGATGATTTGTGCCACCAGGAGCAGGAGGGAGAGGACAGCCAGGCTGAGGACTGCCCAGCACCATGGCAGACGCACCGACTGCTGAGGAGCTGAGAAAGGGAGTTAAGCTGGGCCTTGGAAGTTCATTGGGTGCACTGGGGACACCCCATCCAGGAAAGGTCTGTGAACCCTGGGTGGAGTCTCAGGAGACAGTGGAGGAGCCCAGGAAAAACTGAGGGGGAACCCATTTGCAGCACCTCGACCTTCCTACAAGTTGTCTCTCTGCAGACAGCACTTGGCACAGGGTGGGGAGAGCAGAGCTGGGAGTGTCTGTGTGTGCCCTGGCACTGGGGTACAGTGAGCATCACCTGCCCTTAAGCCCCTCCTGCCCCACACCCTGAGAGCAGGCAGTCTGCAAGGAGCCTGGAGAGGAGCTGTTTGTGAGAGGATACCCAAAAGGAGGGAGTGGGGGGAGCTGGGCTGTGGGAACAGCCCTGCGGAGGGCCCCGGGGCTGCAGGAGGGTGAGGAACCCTTCAGTAGAGCTGGGGTGCCAGGGGTGGGGAGCAGCGCCTCATTACCTGGTGCAGGTGGCAAGCGCAGATCAGCGTACGTGACCCCTTCATCCATCCCTTCCTTAGTTCTCGCTCTGCACCCCACAGGGGAAGCGGCAACTCCCTCCCAGCCCCCTTTGGCAGCTTAGTGTGACGCTAAATGGAAAGTGTCACTTCCTGGTGGGGTCCCCAGAGGCACCACCTGGGCCACAACCCTGGAGGGTCGTGGCACTGCCAGCAACCGGGGGCGAGGGGAAGCCCCGTCGGGGATGCACCCAGGCATTCCCACAAGAGAACCCCGCAGCTGTGATTTTGGGGTAGCGAGTGGTGGGGATGGCTGCTAGCTCAGACATAGGGCCGAATCTGGGCTGGGCAGCCCTGTCGAGG